GTGATAGCGCACAAAATGAAGAGAAAATAGGCAGATGGATATTCGAGTTCCCAACACACAACACAAAAAGTTGTAGTAAACAGAGCAAACTCCAGCTTCAGCGAGGTAAAAAGCTAAGTTCCACAAGGCAGTGTCCTGGCACCTCTGTTGTTTCTCTTCCCCATAGCATAGATAAAAACACCCATCACATTTTTATATGATCATTTTCTGCTGACACTATAATATGCATAAAAGTCACTACGGTAAAAGACAGTGAAAATTACAAGAAGAAATAAGAAGGATATTTAAGTGAACATCAAAATGATATAAAATACCGACAGGTTGTTAGGTAAGAATAAAGATACCTAACTGTTGCATATGTGTCTTACCTAACGATATTTAAGTGGGCAGTAGAGAACAATATGACGTTCATTGGTGATAGGTTCCAGATGCTTAGGTATGGAAAGAACGAAGAACTCAAAAAGAACACTGTTTACTAATTTCAAGAGCATCACCAACTAGAACCAAAGGTACACGTAAAAGATTGTAATAATTAAGTCAGGTGATCTTTATTTCAAAGAACATAATATGATAAAGATAACGACAGCCAGGAGGTTGATAAGGTGGGTACTGAGAACTTTCAAAAGAAAGGAAATAATGCCAATAGTAACACTCTTCAAATCGCTAGTGCTTCATCATTAGGAATATTGCTCACTACTGACGGACCCGTTCAAGGCGGGAGAAATATCAGACCTGGAACAAATACAGAGACCGTTTACGGCCCACATAGTTAGTAAAGCACTTAAATTACTGGGAACTATCTTGAACATGTACTTACTGGAGCGGAGGAGAGTTACATGATAATATACATGTATCTGGAAATGAATCGAGAGCCTGATACCAAATCTCCACACTGCCATAACAGCGTACTGGAGTGAGAGATATGGGAGTAAGTGCAAAATAAATCCAATGAAGAGCAGGGGCGCTGTGGTCACATTAAGGAAACACCGTATCAACATTCGCGGCCCGAAACTATTCAACATCTTACCAGGTTTCAGAAACACGGCTGGAACAAGTGTAGAAGAAGCCTTCAAGAAAAAACTAGACAGGTATTTTCAACTGGATGAGGCCTGGTCTCAGACCGGGCCGTGGGGGCGTTCACCACCGAAACCCTCTCCAGGTAAGCTCCACGTAAGGTGCCAGATCAAATACACTGTGATGGAAAGGTGGGGCAGCGGGCCTCCAGCAACAACAGCCTGGTTGACCAGGCAACCAGGCTGTTGCTGCACATTAGTGCGACCACCAGCATGCTGCTACACTCAGTGTAAGACACTTTCTGTGTTACATTAGTGTGACCACCAGCATGTTGCTACACTCAGTGTAAGACACTTGTTGTGTTACATTAGTGTGACCACCAGCATGCTGCTACACTCAGTGTAAGACACTTTCTGTGTTACATTAGTGTGACCACCAGCATGTTGCTACACTCAGTGTAAGGCACTTTCTGTGTTACATTAGTGTGACCACCAGCATGTTGCTACACTCAGTGTAAGACACTTTCTGTGTTACATTAGTGTGACCACCAGCATGCTGCTACACTCAGTGTAAGACACTTGTGTTATATTAGTGTGACCACCAGCATGTTTCTACACTCAGTGTAAGACACTTGCTGTCTTACATTAGTGTGACCACCAGCATGCTTCCACACTCAGTGTAAGACACTTGTTGTGTTACATTAGTGTGACCACCAGCATGTTGCTACACTCAGTGTATGACGTTTGTGTTATATTAGTGTGACCACCAGCATGTTTCTACACTCAGTGTAAGACACTTGCTGTCTTACATTAGTGTGACCACCAGCATGCTTCCACACTCAGTGTAAGACACTTGTTGTGTTATATTAGTGTGACCACCAGCATGTTGATACACTCAGTGTAAGACACCTCCTGTCTTACATTAGTGTGACCACCAGTATGTTGCTACACTCAGTGTAAGACACTTGTTGTGTTATATTAGTGTGACCACCAGCATGTTGCTACACTCAGTGTAAGACACCTCCTGTCTTACATTAGTGTGACCACCAGTATGCTCCTACACTCAGTGTAAGACACTTCTTGTGTTACATTAGTGTGACCACCAGCATGTTGCTACACCCAGTGTAAGACACTTTCTGTGTTACATTAGTGTGACCACCAGCATGTTGCTACACCCAGTGTAAGACACTTTCTGTGTTACATTAGTGTGACCACCAGCATGTTGCTACACTCAGTGTAAGACACTTGCTGTGTTACATTAGTGTGACCACCAGCATGTTGCTACACTCAGTGTAAGACACTTGCTGTGTTACATAAGTGTGACCACCAGCATGTTGCTACACTCAGTGTAAGACACTTGCTGTGTTACATTAGTGTGACCACCAGCATGTTGCTACACTCAGTGTAAGACACTTGTTGTGTTACATTAGTGTGACCACCAGCATGTTGCTACACTCAGTGTAAGACACTTGCTGTGTTACATTAGTGTGACCACCAGCATGTTGCTACACTCAGTGTAAGACACTTGTTGTGTTACATTAGTGTGACCACCAGCATGTTGCTACACTCAGTGTAAGACACTTGTTGTGTTACATTAGTGTGACCACCAGCATGTTGCTACACTCAGTGTAAGACACTTGTTGTGTTACATTAGTGTGACCACCAGCATGTTGCTACACTCAGTGTAAGACACTTGTTGTGTTACATTAGTGTGACCACCAGCATGTTGCTACACTCAGTGTAAGACACTTGTTGTGTTACATTAGTGTGACCACCAGCATGTTGCTACACTCAGTGTAAGACACTTTCTGTGTTACATTAGTGTGACCACCAGCATGTTGCTACACTCAGTGTAAGACACTTTCTGTGTTACATTAGTGTGACCACCAGCATGTTGCTACACTCAGTGTAAGACACTTGTTGTGTTACATTAGTGTGACCACCAGCATGTTGCTACACTCAGTGTAAGACACTTGTTGTGTTACATTAGTGTGACCACCAGCATGTTGCTACACTCAGTGTAAGACACTTGTTGTGTTACATTAGTGTGACCACCAGCATGTTGCTACACTCAGTGTAAGACACTTGTTGTGTTACATTAGTGTGACCACCAGCATGTTGCTACACTCAGTGTAAGACACTTGTTGTGTTACATTAGTGTGACCACCAGCATGTTGCTACACTCAGTGTAAGACACTTGTGTTACATTAGTGTGACCACAGCATGTTGCTACACTCAGTGTAAGCACTGTTGGTTACATTAGTGTGACCACCAGCATGTTCTACACTCAGGTAAGACACTTGCTGTGTACATTAGTTAGAGAATCATCAGATACACTCAACATCTCGCTGAAGACCCCGAGTTAAATACCAACTCACTGTCTTACACTGCAACTCCTTGGATCAGACACTATTGACAAAGGAAATACATTGAGATGTTTCTCCTGTGGCTCAAACTTCTTCACTCAGTACACAGTGATGAAGAACCAGTATATTTAATACAAGCAGAGTAAAGTTAGAGTGGTTGTAGTGCGAGACATGAGCACTGGAGGACTACCAGTCCTTGTGTGTGCTCGTGTACTGTCAATGTCTTGTTTATACAAAAGATGGGCAGAGAAAAGACCAGTAGTCCTTCGGCAGTGCCCCTTTCTCAATACTTGCACCGCGGCTTCCCCTCTAAATAATCATAATAATAATAATAATAATAATAACAATAATAATAATAATAATCTTTATTTCTATAAGTTTACAGGCCTAGCTGATATCAGTGACATACTTCTATATTGAAAGCAGCTTATTACGCAGAGAATTGAGTCTCCAGGATGCGACTCACACCAGTCAACTAACAACCAGGGACCTATTTTCCTGTTAGGTGAATGTGGACAGCAGGTGTCTTAAGAATTTCATCCTATTGTTTCCATCCGTACCGGGGATCGAACCACGAACTTCATTGTGTGAGCTGAGTGCGCTAGCAACGGAGCTACTGACAATTAACCATAGACATCATAACACTGTTGTCTAAATAATCAGATGGGTTACTGTTGATGGAGTCTGGAACAGTTGAACTATGACTGTTGTACATCAGCAGTGTGTAGTGACTGACCGTTTTCTGTTCGCTCGGTACACTTTATTATCGCATTTTATTTTATAATTGTTTTTCCGTCGTAACCTAACCTTATCTAACCTAAAATAACCTTATCTAACCTAACTCAACCTAACCTAACCTAACTTAACCTAACCTAACCTCTAAAATAACTTACCCTGAATCAACCTAACTCAACCTAACCTAACCTTATCTAACCTAACTCAACCTTATCTAACCTAACTTAACCTAACCTTACTTAACCTAACCCAACCTTATCTAACCTAACCTAACCTTACTTAACCTAACCCAACCAAACTTATCTAACCTAACCTAACGCAACTTATCTAACCTAACATAACCCAACATTACATAAGCTGATCAAAACATTACCTATCTAATCTATCATTTCCTAATATCAAGGAAAATAATAGAGATACAGCGGGAGAATGGTGCTGACAAGATAATGTTGAAGCGATAAATTATGTTGTAATGCTAAATTATTACTAGGTCGTCTCTCGATATTTGAGTTATAAACAAGAAATAAGTAGTTAATGCACGTCTGACATATCAACAGTTATGACAATACTGACACACAATTTCCATTTTACATCTGACCGACATCCTTAACTCTACACTAAGGTAAGGTTTAGGAAATGTTAATTAGACGATTACAAACAAATCACGGAAGGAGTGGGGTTTGAACCCATGGCAAGTGCGTCCTGAAACTCACTAGCCAGTGCGCTAATAACTGGGCCAGCTGGATTTAATAGGACTCATTCAGCTAGCTACATTTCTAAACACCAAAGGTAAGTTAGTATTGGCCAATCTGTGACCACAGATGAATCTCGTTGAGCCAAGGTTTAAACCCCACATGTTCCATGATTCCCTAAAGCAGGATCTCACCCATGAGACAAGCGTCGAGAAGTTTGGCTTCCATGATGCCCTGGTAGGTAATATCACCATATTCGTGAATGATCTGCTTTATCTCCTCACGGAGACGCTGCTGATGTATGGGATGCTTGGCCAGTTGGAATGATAAGAAGGCCAGAGTAGCCGCCGTGGTTTCGTAGCCAGCGACAAGGAACAACACACTCTGTGCCACAATGCTTTTGTTGGTCAACACTGTAATGATATGATAACTTATTTATGCTATTAGTTATGATGGTTAATGTATATTTTTCAAACAAATTATAAACTTGTTATAAACTATGTTTCATCAGATCCAAATTTTCTAGCTCAAGCAAGATATTAAATAATTACACTATTTAAACTATTATCCAGTGTTTCTATTTTATCATCACGATTACTTTTCACTAAAAATAGAAAAAGTAAAAATAAAATACCATAGGCCCCGCTTTACAGCGTTCCGCTAATACAGCGATTACATATTATGACCAAAATTTGCTATATGGCGAGCGGTCTTTCAAATACGGCGCATCCCACCCTGTTTGTTTACATTCTCCGTTAACACATCTCTATTATGTCTGGAAATTTTCCAGAATTTCAAGTGTTTTAAAGCAATTGCTTATTTTATATATACCCTGATAATTATACTTATGTGTACCTGTACCTAAATATACTTACACATAACAGCATATGTGTAGGGAACCTAACAACCCAAAAAAGTCAGAGTGAGGCACATTAAATGTTATATAAAACGTTACTTAATATAGACATATTGCTTAATCCATTTTTTTATCAAAATTGTATAATAAACACACTATGTAACATATAAACATGATTAATATACCACAGTAGAATAAATTAACATAAATATGAAATATTTTTGTAGTCGACTTGCGGAATGAACTAAAACCATACGTGTCTGGCTGGTTTGTTTACATAACTCGCTCTGTCCTCTCTCCTGTACTCATTCTCTCTGTCTCTCTTTCTCTCTCGTTTATTCGTTTAATCTCACGCTACATTATGACTACAAATATTTTAAGGTAAGTAATGAGCGTACTGTGTATGCATTTTATCATTCTAGGCGCTTCAAATGCGTGATATTTAATATATGGGTGGGGTGTCCAAAATGGGATTACGATACTTAAACATTATTCGATACCTACCTACTCTACTTGCACTCTATATTAAGATCATTAAGACTACAACTATTTTAAGGTAAGTAATGAGTGTACACTATATGCATTTTATCACTCTATTCCTCTTTCAATTATTTTGTGTGGGTGGGGTGGGGTGGGGTGGACTGGCTGGCTACCATACCTACCACACCTAACTTCTTTCAATATACACTATTCACTTCTCACCCTACATTAAGACTACAAATATTTTGAGGTAAGTTATGAGTGTATTGTGTGTGTATTTTACTTTTTATTGTTTTATTATTCTTTTGCTAACTTAATATATGTTAGTGTAAACTTATTATCTGACATTTAAAAGTGGAAACAAATGGTGTTCTGTTTTACGGCGATGTCTGCTTTCCGGCAGTAGCCAGGAACCTAACCTGCCGTATAAGTGGGGCCCTACTATATAGGAATCGTAGCGGATCATATCTTAAGGAGGAATTAAGACTGACATGAAATTCAATTCTATCATAATTTCCAAACATTGGATCACAATGATTGCTTTAACTATGTATTTTAACGTAACACAATATTGCTTCAAGTTAGGCTATAATATTGTGTAACCATTTGGTGGGTTGATGGGCTGGTGGGCTGGTGGGTTGGTGGGCTGGGATTCTCAAAGAAACAACATACCATGGGATACGCCTCAATATTATAGAGAAAATCGATCATGACCACTTAATTTAATTATACGATCGAAAATAATGAATATATATTTTAACTGTGTCAGATTTTACTATATAATTTGCTTTTTTTGATCCCAAGAAGAATATTCACAAATTCAGATCGAATGGCTAATAAATTTGTTATCGATGATTGTCGAAACATCTAACTTTAACTTAATGGAACTCTTATATATAATGTTCCACAAGGGTTTAGAACTTCACATGATATTGCATTTTTAAATACCACACTTTTTTGGGAGTAAACCAAAAAATAATGATAATGTATCATCACTGACCTTGCTTTGATTGAGCGATGGGAATGTTGTTAACGTTAGTGACAGAAGAGTCGTGGTTGATGGTCTCCTGGGCAGTTTGGTCCTGGGTAGTGGTGGACTGGTTGTGTGGGACAGTTGATGTGTCAGTAATGATGGTCTCCTGGGCAGTACGGTCCTGGGTAGTGGTGGACTGGTTGTGTGGGACAGTTGATGTGTCAGTAATGATGGTCTCCTGGGCAGTACGGTCCTGGGTAGTGGTGGACTGGTTGTGTGGGACAGTTGATGTGTCAGTAATGATGGGATGGTTAACACCACCTCGAGCGTCCAAGAGCAAGTCCAAGTAATCACCCCGTCTTTGTCCTGTATTTCTGGCTGCAATTGTCTCTTCTACAACATTCGAGAAAAAACCTATGGCTGGTGAATCTATTTTGATTCCCAAGGCATTACCAATCTTCGGGAAAATGTTAAAAAGAGTAATTTTTAGGATCCTTAAAAAGGGAAAATTAAAAAACATTTCAGCATATTTGGAAAACTCTGGCACCTCGCTCTTAAAAGAATTACATTCAATACCAAAAGCACAGGAAGCAATAGTATCCATAGTAAACCTTGCAAAGTTTACCTTCATATCAACAAAAGGTTTGTTAGCTGCTTCTTTAAGAGAAAAAGAAACAAGAGCATCGGCCTTATCACACATCAGAGGAAACATGGAGCGCATCTTGCCAGACGTGAAAGTGGGAGTCATGATCCCCCGGAGAGTCTTCCACTCATCTCCGGTCATGTTACTCAGCATTATGTTTGAAATGCTTCCTTCTTCCACTACAAACTTTCGACGGTCCACAAAATGATCAAAATCCTTAACAAAGATGTTTTTGAGCAGTTCAGGATCGCCAATCATGAGAACAGGACGAAACAGCTCATACAGTCCACTGAGTGTTGAACCTCCAAACTTTTGATACACCTGGAAAAAGGTTCTCATCATAATGTGAGCGCATTAACCACCATTCTCACACCTTACTGTGCTGTATGATCCTTAAGCGTTTAGTGTTTCGTTATGATTATAACAAGAATTAAAATTCCTAAATGTTTTTTGTATATTTAAAACAACAAAATACATTACCAAAATATGTAATAGTAGATCTTGCATCAAAAGCCTTGACAAGGATTTAGATGAAGATCATTAAGTAGCAAGTACAGACCTCGTCGAAATAAAGCCATCGAGACTGGGAAGACGATAAAAGCTTGTGCATATGTCCGAGGAAGGGAAGATAAGGAGGGGTTGAGACTCCTCGAGACGACCAGTAGCTGTGGCGCCAGCGGGAGTATGCCCAAGCTGCCATCACTACTCCAGCCACCAACAACCACACCTCTATTCCCATCCTGAAATCAAAATGAAAATAACTTAATATTTTCCATTGTATTGTGTCACTAATCCCAGGATATGTCAGTGTTTTTATATGAATATTCTATAAATTAATCATCTCCTTGCCAATTTACCTTTCATCCCTCTCTCCCACCTTTCCGTCTTGCCCTTATGAAGTCTCTCAGCTGAGGCTGACAGATTTCATCACTTGTGGCAAGAAATTCAGTCTCTATGTAACTATCATAAAGGTAGAATAACAGCACACTGCGGGTGTACGTAAGTTTTTGTGTATTTATGTTTAGTCTAATTTCAACATTCAGTCAAGCAAGATAAAAATCTGAGAAGATCCATTCATATATTTGGAATGGACTTTTCTGATTTTTTCTCCTATAATGAATATTCTTTTTTTAATTACTCCCAGATAAGTGACCCATTGTGACCATACTAAATAAATATAACATAAGGTGGTGTTATAGTATACATCGTATCTTGGATTACCCAAAATTATCTGTGTTGTTGAACATCAGTGACTGAGATTGTTTCTTGATGTTCAGACTTTTTTGTGGAATAATTGCAAAGGATTATTTTATAATTTTTATCAATAAGTACTGATAGGCCTATGATAATTTTTAACTTTTTTTTGTTCTGTAATGACGATATATTTACAAAGTGACTCAAGAAATCGTAATGACACGATTGCAAACAAACCATACCCCCGGCCGGGATTGAACCCGCGGTCATAGAGTCTCAAAACTCCAGCCCGTCGCGTTAGCCACTAGACCAGCTAGCCACAATAAGGTTCATCCAACTAGGTATATTTCTACACCATAGGAAGGTTAGCATAGGCACCACTGTGTTGGATGAATCTTATTGTGGCTAGCTGGTCTAGTGGCTAACGCGACGGGCTGGAGTTTTGAGACTCTATGACCGCGGGTTCAATCCCGGCCGGGGGTATGGTTTATTTACAAAGTGTATGATAGGCTAGCCTGTATAATAATAATTCCTGAATTATAGCAACTCCACAACTGCTGGAAGAAACCTTTGAAGTTCCTAAGTGACACAACACATTGTGGCTTAACAAATTCCTCTTAATATTACTTAAGTCTCCTAACTCATACACAAAACACAACCTGTGTGATGGAATTAAAAAAGGAACAACAGTAAGCTTATTTTCCTCAATATGGAACTAACATACGAGGTACAAGAGCGGTACACTCTTGATGTAGCCAGTTTGTTTGATAACCAATAATCTACCTACTTGTATCTCTTCTTTACCTTCCTGTCCTTGGATGAAAAGATAAAGAAATGGACATAAAATACTTGTTATTATCAAGAAGTATGTCTCAGCCGTTAATTTTAAATGCACTTTTTTAGGAGAATATTTTATATATCTTCAAATAAAAACTGTCCCAGTTCAAAACGTTCTAGGCCATTATAATTAAATTAATAATATTCAACTTAATACATTACCCTACAATATGTATATGCTGAGTGTATGGCGAGGGGATCTGCCATCATGCACAAAAATGTGAGATCTGTCCACTAGACCATATACTAAGTTATATCCCCTTCGCGAAGGAAATCCGGGTTTCTTGCAAATTAACACAAGCCAATGTCACTGTGTGTGTTACTGCTTCTGTCACTCACTGTGTGTTACTGCTCCTATCATTCACTGTGCATGTGTGTGCTACTGCGCCTGTCACTCACTGTGTGTGTGTTACTGCTCCTGTCACCTACTGTGTGTGTTACTGCTATCACTTACTGTGTGTGTTGTTGCTCCTATTACTTACTGTGTGTGTGTTACTGCTCCTATAACTTACTGTGTGTGTTGCTGCTCCTGTCAGTCACTCTGTCAGTTACTGCTATATCGCTTACTGTTTGTGTGTGTTACTGCTACCATCAGTCACTGTGTGTTACTGCTACCATCAGTCACTGTGTGTATGTTACTGCTATCAGTCACTGTGTGTGTTACTGCTACCATCAGTCACTGTGTGTGTTACTGCTACCATCAGTAACTGTGTGTGTTACTGCTACCATCAGTCACTGTGTGTGTTACTGCTACCATCAGTCACTGTGTGTGTTACTGCTACCATCAGTCACTGTGTGTGTTACTGCTACCATCAGTCACTGTGTTACTGCTACCATCAGTCACTGTGTGTGTTACTGCTACCATCAATCACTGTGTTACTGCTATCATCAGTCACTGTGTGTGTTACTGCTATCAGTCACTGTGTGTGTTACTGCTACTATAAGTCACTGTGTGCTATTGCTACCATCAGCCACTGTGTGTGTTACTGCTACCATCAGTCACTGTGTGTGTTATTGCTACCGTCAGTCACTGTGTGTGTTACTGCTACTATCAGTCACTGTGTTACTGCTACTATCAGTCACTGTGTGTGTGTTACTGCTATCAGTCACTGTGTGTGTTACTGCTACTATCAGTCACTGTGTTACTGCTACTATCAGTCACTGTGTGTGTGTTACTGCTATCAGTCACTGTGTGTGTTACTGCTACTATCAGTCACTGTGTGTGTTATTGCTACCATCAGTCACTGTGTGTTACTGCTACTATCAGTCACTGTGTGTGTTATTGCTACCATCAGTCACTGTGTGTTACTGCTACTATCAGTCACTGTATTACTGCTACTATCAGTCACTGTGTGTTACTGCTACCACCAGTCACTGTGTGTGTTACTGCTACCATCAGTCACTGTGTTGCTGCAACTGTCAACTACTGTGTGTGTTGTTGCTACTGTTAACTACTGTGTGTGTGTTGTTGCTACTATTAACTATTGTTTATGTTGCTGCTTACATCAACATCTTTGAGTTTTGCTGTTGTTGCTATTGCAACAACAGCAAAACTACTACTGTGAGTGTTGATATTACCATGAAACCTTCATTGTGTTGCTGCTACTATCACTGTGTGCTGTTGCTTCTGTCACTCATTGTGTGTGTTGCTGCATCTATCACTGTGGTATTTTGTCATGTTCACTGTGTGTTGCTGCTATCAGTCACTGTGTGTTGCTGTTACTGTCATTAGATGTGTGTGTTGATGCAATTTTCATTGTGTGTTTCTGCAATTATCTATCCCTGTGTTGCTTATTCTGTCAATAACTGTTTTGTTGCTAATATTATCACTGTGTTGCTGTGTGTGTGTTGCTGCTGCAGTCACTTTGTGTGTTGCTGCTACTCTCACCGTGTGTGTGTTACTGCTATCACTCACTGTGTGTTGCTACTCATCCGCTAATTGAGTGTTGCTGCTACTGCTATTAAGTGTGTGTGTTGCTGCTACAGTCACTGACTGTAAGAGTTGCTGATACTGTCACTAACTGCATGCTGCTACTGTCACTGAGTGTTGCTGCTACTGTCACTGAGTGTTGCTACTGCCGACATTAGTGTGTGTAATGCTGCTACTTTCCCTAACTGTGTGTGTTGCTGTTACTGTGAGTATTGCTGCTACTGTCACTAACTGTGAGTATTGCTGCTTCAGTCAATGTGGGTGTTGCTGCTACTGTCACTGTGTTGCTGCTAATGTCACTGTGTTGCTGATACTGTCACTGTGTGTTGCTGCTACTGTCACTGTGTGTGTTGCTTCTACTGTCACTGTGTGTGTTGCTGCTACTGTCACTGTGTGTGTATTGCTGCTACTGTCACTGTGTGTTGCTGCTACTGTCACTGTGTGTGTTGCTTCTACTGTCACTGTGTGTGTGTTGCTGCTGTCACTGTGTGTGTTGCTGCTACTGTCACTGTGTGTTGCTGCTACTGTCACTGTGTGTGTGTTGCTGATACTGTCACTGTGTGTTGCTGCTACTGTCACTGTGTGGGTTGCTTCTACTGTCACTGTGTGTGTGTTGCTTCTACTGTCACTGTGTGTGTGTTGCTGCTACTGTCACTGTGTGTGTGTTGCTGCTACTGTCACTGTGTGTGTGTTGCTGCTACTGTCACTGTGTGTGTGTGTTGCTGCTACTGTCACTGTGTGTGTGTGTGTTGCTATTACTGTCACTGTGTTTGTGTTGCTGTTACTGTCACTGTGTGTTGCTGCTACTGCCACTGTGTGTTGCTGTTACTGTGTGTTGCTGCTACTGTGTTGCTGCTACTGCCACTGTGTGTTGCTGTTACTGTGTGTTGCTGCTACTGTGTTGCTGCTACTGCCACTGTGTGTTGCTGTTACTGTCATTAGCTGTGTGTGTTGATACAATTTTCATTGTGTGTTTCTGCAATTATCTATCTCTGTGTTGTTTATTCTGTCACTAACTGTGTGTGTTGCTAATATTATCACTGTGTTGCTGTGTGTGTGTTGCTGCTGCAGTCACTGTGTGTTGCTGCTACTCTCACCGTGTGTGTTACTGCTACTATCACTCACTGTGTTGCTACTCATGCACTAACTGTGTGTGTTGCTGCTACAGTCACTGACTGTAAGAGTTGCTGATACTGTCACTAACTGTGCATGTTGCTGCTGTCACTGAGTGCTGCTGCTGTCATTGAGTGTTGCTGCTACTGTCACTGAGTGTTGCTGCTGTCACTGAGTGTTGCTGCTGTCACTGAGTGTTGCTACTGCCGACATTAGTGTGTGTATTGCTGCTACTTTCCCTAACTGTGTGTGTTGCTGTTACTGTGAGTATTGCTGCTACTGTCACTAACTGTGAGTATTGATGCTACTGTCACTAACTGTGAATATTGATGCTTCAGTCACTGTGGGTGTTGCTGCTACTGTCACTGTGTTGCTGCTACTGTCACTGTGTGTTGCTGCTACTGTCACTGTGTGTTACTGCTACTGTCACTGTGTGTGCTGCTGCTACTGTCACTGTGTGTGTTGCTGCTACTGTCACCTGTGTGTGCTGCTGCTACTGTCACTGTGTGTGCTGCTGCTACTGTCACTGTGTGTGCTGCTGCTACTGTCACTGTGTGTTGCTGCTACTGTCACTGTGTGTGTGTTGCTACTGTCACTGTGTGTGTTGCTGCTACTGTCACTGTGTGTGTTGCTGCTACTGTCACTGTGCGTGTTGCTACTGTCACT